ATATATATATATATATATATATATATATATATATATAATGCTAAATTTTAAATATTTAAAATATTTTATATTATATTATATTTTTCAGGCAACTATCAAAAAAGCAACAATTTTGGATTTATCAAATAATCTCTTAACATTTTTACCTGTAAGTTTTTACAAGTTTATTATTTTCATTTAATAAATGAATATATTTTTTTTATTATAAATAATTACTTTCAGAATACTTTTGTTGATCTTAAACAAATAGTTAAATTGGATCTTAGTAAAAATATGTTGACAGAAATCCCTGAAAATTTTGGAGAATTGAGACAACTAAAACATTTGGATCTTTATGCAAATCAAGTAATTAAAAATAAATATTTTTGAAATAAATTTAAATTATATATAAATAATAGAAAAATGACTTTACAGATAAGCAGATTACCACTTAGTTTAAGTGAATTAAAAAATTTAAGATGGTTAGATTTAAAAGAAAATCCTTTAACTCTTGCTGTAGCTAGTGTTGCTGGTCCTTGTAGTAATTTGAGTGAATGTCAAGCTTGTGCTCGCAATATTGTTTCTTATTTATCATATGTTAAAGTTACTATTGAAGAAGAAAAATTACGAAGATTGAATGCTACTATTACAGGTAAATTTTAAAAATAAAATGTATAAATCTTTAAATAGTTTTTATATAATGTACATTAGTGATATTTTAATTTATAGTAGATACAGAAACAGACACCATATCAACGAAAAAAGGAGGAAAAAGAAAAAAAAAGAAACTATTGGAAAAAAATAATAAACAAAATTTAGATAAGAATGGATTTAATCTCATAAATAAAGTAAAACAAATAGATGAAAATAAAATAGAACCTCCAAAATTGACACTCAATAATCAAATTAATAAAGAACATGGATTTAAAGGTAATATATTCAAGGTAATCTGCAAATATAAATAAATATAAGTAATTTTTTAATTGGTATTTCAGAAAATGTATATCAATTCTTTGTGTCCATGATCTTATGGGTTTTTCTTTTGGGTTTAATATTTACACTAATGCTTATGATTCTTCCATTGTATTCAAAACAATCAGAATTGTTTATAAATTATATAGAAACTAACACAGGTGTATCTTTAAAGGAATTTCAAAAATATAATACTAATGTACTTTATTCTCTTAAACAAATTGTAATTAATATTTACGATAATTTATATTTTATCTATGAAAAAAATTTTAAAACGAAAACCGATATTCCAATGAAATAATACGCATTTTAAGTATTATGAAAAAAATTAAGATTCTTAAGTATATAAATTTCAATGATCAAATTTATTGAATGTAATAATTTTATAAGAAGTAGATGTAGAATATAATTGATGAATAAAATTTATTATCGTTGATACTTCTAAAATCAATGAGGAATCGAATGTCTTTATATTATGTTATATTAAAATCACATATGTGAATCAAAAAATGTTATTTATTTTGAAGAATAAAAGATTAATACAGATATATTAAAATGTATCATACTACTTCTTTGGTCTGTAAATATTTACTTATATATTATTTTGAATCATGCAGATATGCATTTCTTTTAAAATATTAAACATTATTTGTAATATTCGTTTTATTTAATAACATTGATGATGTTGATTTAGCAGATGTTTTGCCAAGAGAGTTTTCCATTCTACTAATCAATTTTTGAAAGGTATTCATTCTCAATGAAGTGTGTTGTTCGCCACAGTCATCCGATAAATCTTCTAATTCGGTTAAAACTCGTCCATTCGTTTCAACAATCATTGAATCAATTATTTTTGATTTTTTTCCGCTAACAAATCTATTCCACGACCTCTTTTCTGGGCTGTTTTGCAATCTTATTATATTTTCATGATCTTTGTTATTTAAAATTTCTTTTTGTCGTGCTGTAAAATCTGCGAGAATAGCGATATCATCATATAGATCATCTACTTGTTGATTAATGGGAAGAGACTTAGGATAACATAACTCGGATCGCGGAGGTGGTATCTTATAATGTTCGTTATCCACAAGTGATGATCCTTGCGAATAATTTATGTTTTCGCAAAGAACGGGTCGATTAATATTCGTGCGAACAAAATCCGAAGAGAGATTCTTTGTAGTTTGCTGAAAATTCATTTGTCATACGTTTAAAAATAATTCTATAAAAAAAAAATATACTGTTTTAAAAATACTGTGCAAAAAAATTAAAATATAATAAAAATTAAATGAAAAAATCAAGAAATACATAGTTCATACTTGAGGTAATTTATAATTTTTAGATTTGTCTCGATATGCAACATCATCATAAAATTGATCCGTATCGATTACATCGTTGATTATCGGTGGTTTTGCATAAATCGGCCTAGGTGGAGGTGGACAAGTATACTCAGGTTGTTGTTCTTCGACACGAATTGTTTCTTGCTGAATATTCATCAGATCAGATATATCATCATAGTAAGTGGATAGTTCTTGATTATTTACAGACGGCGATAGTTGTGGTGAAGTTTTACACTTAGTTTTTTTTTCATTTTTTCTTGGAGATTCTTTTTTGCTTCTCATTCTATTCAAAAACGATTTCTTTTGTGGTGATTTTGATGGTTCATCTGTTTTATTCGTTGTTTGAGCCTTGATCGATTTTGTATTCAAAACTATATTCTGTGTACAAAAGAAGTATGCAAAATCAAATATCAAGCGATAGATATATAATTGTTTAATAAAAAAAGGAAAAAAGAAAAAAAGTAAAAATAGGTAAGGAAAATTCAAAAGGAAAAGAAATGAGAAATATGAACGAAACATGGTCACACAATACAATCACCTCAACATTGTCGTAAGATACAAGTTTGTTTTGTTCATCATTTTCAATTTTATTATCTTCAGACATGGTGTTGACAGTATCATCATATGTTAATTCATTTCGTGAGGCAATTGATTTTCTCTTAATCTCTTTCTTCTTTCGTTTATCATCAGATTTATGTCCGCTTTTTATGCTCGCACGAACATCATCATACGTTGTGGATTTTTTGTTCGATTGTTCATCGCTTATTTTAATTTGAGATTGAAAAGTATCACCAACATTTCCATATTGTATTGTATCTCTAACTTCTTCAATTTTATGATAAATATCATCCTCTTCTTCATCGGGAAATTCATAAGATGAATTTCGAACAGATATAGTCAATAATTTTCGAGGGATTCGAGCAGGTAATGGAGGAGGAGATGTTGAATGTAAACGAGAAGTAGTGACAGTATCAGAAATATTGGAAAATTGAGGGAGGGAAGAATCAGTGGATACGTGGAAAGTATCCTTTATAGAAGAATCGTTTGCTTCTCTGTTTTCTGTCTCCTTATTGGCAACAGGCGAAATGATTGAAGATTTATCAGGAGGCTCATTGACGCCTAGCGAACCTACATCTTGATAACGTTCTTCTTTGGAATTCAAATCTTCTTGAATTGAATCATTTGATTGTTTGGTAATACTATTTGCGACAATATTGTCTACTTCTTTTGTCAATTCTTTGGACTCTATCTTTTTTTCACCTCCTAATTCACAAATTTTTGTTATCCATTGTTCCATATCTTTCGGATTTTTGGCAGAAAACTGAAACAACGTAGAATCGTTCTAAATTGTTCTGAATGAAACTTGAATTTTATTTTAAATATTATTTTTTTGTCTTTTTCTTTCTTTTTATATATATAGTGTATAAGATGAAAGATTTTTTACTACTTGAAAAGTTCTGCAACCAGGACGGAAGATTTCAAAAGTAGATTCGCTTCGACGTTGATCTCGAGGAATTGCATTTGGAGCAGCTCGAGCCATATAACCATGAATTGGTAAAATCGTACATGGACGATTGTCTCGATCGCTTCCATAAATTAACAAATGTAATCCAACTAAACCTATTATATTTGCAAAGAAATAAAATTCCTTTAAACATATAATTTTATATACACAAAGATATATAAAAATGCATCGATCAATTTTAAAAATCGAATTCCAACTTACCGACCCAACACGATCGATATTGTTCGAACACAAATAATTTCTTTCCTTCCTTTCTATAAAGAAGACCACATAATTGACATTTACTTTTCGTTTCTGTTGCCGAAAAATTCGCGTACATGTTCACCAGTGTATGTTCAATTTCTTCTTTAGTTTGACGATTATTGATCGTTTCATCAATCGCAATTGTAGTATTATTCGTCGATTCCATTCCTTGAAACGCCTCATAATAATCTTGCTGCTGCTGTTGTTTCTGAACGTGTTCCTCTGCACCTACGTATTCTTGCAACTCGGTTTCTGTTTTTAATGTTACCATTAAACCTTTTGATCCAGCTGCGTTCATATTCAAATATGGTTCCGGTGAAGCCGATCTTCCGATCCTCTCTATCACGAACATCGTTAACGTGTCTTTCGAACGTATCAACAGATTATCCCGAATATTCTCCAATCTGGTTGGAAGTTTGACTTCGCGAAGAAATTCCAAAAATTGTACTACATCTATAATAAAAAAATTAGATCGATATAATAATGTAATTAAAATAAATGTAAAATAGAAAGCAAAAAAGTAATAAATATAATTATAATTATATACATGTATATTTTATAAAAATATTTATACATTTTATAAAAAAAAAGAACGAATAGTATTGCAATTACCTCGAAGTATAGCAGTGAGCTCGGCGTTAAGTCCCATCGTAGCTTGTTTTCTGTTCAATTTATTAATCTTTCGAGTATTAGTAGTATACCTATAAAATATAGTTATTTGTTCAGCAATAGTTTTGAACCAAACTTTACGATACAATGAAACAGACAGACTCTCCTACTGAAATTTACCCGGAAATGTGATTAAAGGAGATAATGTAAAGAAATGAGGAAAATGTGCGAGAAGTCTACATCTAACTGATTTTATTTTCATTGTCCGTGATTTCAAGCTTAAAAGCTTGCGAGTTTGAAATCAATTTGATTCGAAGCGAATTCGATGAACAGTTTTGAACCGAACTTTACAATACAATGAAACAGATAGATTTTTCTACTGAAATTTACCCGGAAATGTGATTAAAGAAGATAGTGTAAAGAAATGAGCGAGAAGTTTACATCTAACTGATTTTATATTCATTATCCGTGATTTCAAGCTTGAAATCTTGCGAGTTTGAAATCGATTTGATTCGAAGCGAATTCGATGAACACCTCCCTTTTCCTTTTAAGCGATCCGTGACGTCTTTTCTCCCGTCATTGAACGAAATCGATATTGCTCAATGACGTTTCTAATGACGATTTTATTTGATATTCGAGCGGAATACAAATAATTAATAATAAATTTCGTCGATTCACGATTATCGTATCGATGAATCCGTTAATCGAACGCATATCTCACCTGTAAAATATTTGCAGTCTATTCTTGTATTTCAAGTCGTTCCAAACTGTATCGCGTCGATAAACAAACAATATAGCATATTTAATTTTACTTCATTTCTCGCGACAAACATTGCGGCGCATTATTTTCTCTTCACTTGTTAAACAATTACTTTTTTAAGAGAAATATTTTTAAAAAATATCATTCTAACAGAAATCGTACAATTGCTTCTTAATATTTAACTCGTTAAAATTCAACGAGCTGAACTGCACGTGGGAGCAACTGAAGGCGGCTCCCGCAAAGACTGTCTCGCTGTCGCTAGTCACTGGAATCTGTCTTTACTTCTCTCTCTCTCTC